AATATGTAAAAATGTGGTATTTGTGCATGAAGTGAATATGTTAAATTGTGATATATGTGTGTGAAGTGAATATGTAAAAATGTGATATATGTGTGTGAAGTGAATATGTAAAAATGTGGTATTTGTGATGAAGTTTCACATTTTTACATATTCAATAACTTCACACACATCACATTTTTACATATTCTATTTGTGTGTGAAGTGAATATGTAAAAATGTGATATTTATATATGAAGTGGATTTGTAACAATTTGATAGTTGTGCGTGAAGTGAATATGTAAAAATGTGGTATTTGTGTGTGAAGTGAATATGTAAAAATGTGATATTTGTGTGTTTAGTGGGTGTATAAAAATGATATGTTTCTTAACTGTACTCAGAGGACTTGTTAATAAAATTTTATTTCTTCTTTCTCGATAGAACTATAAGGTAAACACTTGACAAAATGTTTTCATGGAATTGACGTGCGGGATTGAAAGATATAACATGAAACTTTTAGAACCCTCCCGTCATTCTAGAAGAAAAATATTTTAATGTGGTTGTTCTTTAAAAGTATGAGAAAGTCTTTAGCTTGGATGTCTACTGTTTGTAGATATCCTCCTTGACAACAGTAGGTTATCAATGTATCAATAGGTTTTGAACGTAAAGCATGAATGAGTTTTAACTGGAGATGCCTTCCCAATAAGTCAGCAATATGCTTTAGTTTGATCCTTGAGGTGAAGATAAAAAATAAATTAAACAAATGTAGGGCATGTACATTCTTTATAGAAACCAAGCTCTGGTATCAATAGATGTTGAACACAAAGTTCCAGAAATACTCCATCTTGGGTTTGTACAGTGTTTACAGATGTCAGCCAAGACTACTTACTATATGTTATCAAGGTCTGGTATCAATACATGTTGAACACAAAGTTCCAGAAATACTCCATATTGGGTTTGTACAGTGTTTACAGATGTCAGCCAAGACTACTTACTATATGTTATCAATGTCTGGTATCAATACATGTTGAACACAAAGTAACAGAAAGATTTCATCTTGGGTTTGTACAGTGTTTACAGATGTCAGCCAAGACTACTATGTCTTATCAAGGCCTGGTATCAACAGATCTTGAACACAAAGTATCAGAAATACTTCATCTTGGGTTTTACAGCGTTTACAGACATCAACGTACACTATTATGTGTTATCAAGGTCCAGTATCAATAGATGTTGAACACAAAGTATCAGAAAGACTTCATCTTGGGTTTTACAGTGTTTACAGACATCAACGTACACTATTATGTGTTATCAAGGTCCAGTATCAATAGATCTTACTCAATATGGTATATGTCTGTAAACAATGTTTAAAATCAATTCATACCAGACCTTGATAACACATAGTAGTCTTGGCTGACTTCTGTAAACACTGTACAAACCCAAGATGGAGGTTTCTGGTACTTTGTGTTCGTCAGGCTTGATATCAATAGATGTTGAACACAAAGTATCAGAAAGCCTTCATCTTGGGTTTGTACAGTGTTTACAGAAGTCAGTCAAGACTACTATGTGTTATCAAGGTCTGGTATGAATTGATTTTAAACATTGTTTACAGACATATACCATATTGAGTGTCAGGCTTGATATCAATAGATGTTGAACATAAAGTATCAAAAAGCCTTCATCTTGGGTTTGTACAGTGTTTACAGACATATACCATATTGAGTGTCAGCCAAGATGTTATTGTTTGAAAATACCATTAAATGTTATTTGTTTTAATTTTCCAGTGTCTTGCTGTGTGTGAAGTTCTGGCTATTAATAAATTTGACAGTTGTTATTTAAAACTCGCTGAAGTTTAAAAATTTTAGTCCTAAACATTTTACAGTATTAAAAATGTATTACTTCTCCAAATTAGACGTTATATTCTGGTTAAACAAAATGTATCGTAATATTTTATTTTGCTTCATCGATCGTGTAAATTGTAATTACTTGTCCTGGGGCTTAATAAATGAAGTATAAAAAATTAAACATTGAAGAGGTGCCAAGGAGCAGTCACACCCCCAGTGGCACAACGGTATGTCTGTGGACTTAAAGCGCTAGAAACTGGTTTCGATACCCATGGTGGGAAGAGCACAGATTGTGAACCACCGGTGGGGACACATGGCAGGGAACCTGTTAAGATTACGTATTCATCTATACTATACGTTGTTGTTTTTTAATTAATTTAATTTGTGTCGAGGCTGTATCAAGGATTGTTGTCCTCGTGACGAAGTTTATGATTTCCGCGTGCACCAGAAGAAATCGTTTCAACCATTCTTGAGTTCGTCTTTATCAAGATAATAGTCTATGACAGACAGAATCACTCGAGAATAGGTTGCTTCCGTACTATCAGATGTCTGAATTGTTAACCTTAAAAATTGTGTTTTTTTTTTTCAAAAATCCGGGTGTGAGATCACCCTTGGTTGACTCGAGAAACGTCTGTCTGTGTTTTCTCAACATCCGGGGTCTGAATTTGTGTTTTTTATTGCTTAACTAGCCGCAACCCATAAAGAAATCGCGGTAGTTTTTATGCCTTTTGCTTGACTTTTCTTTATTCTATCATTTTCACGCACGGCATTTAAGCTAAACTTTCTTGCAAGCATTATGTGTTAGATCGTTATATCCTAGTCTACTTGAAAAATAATTTACGGGGTCAGAAAAACAGACTCACGTAGACGTAATTTTATTTAATAAAACTAAACAACACAGTAATGGTATTTATAATAGTGTACAGTGTATGAAACAGTTATGAGCGTTCAATGTATGACACGGTTTTACGAGGTGAAACACAGAAACTCACAAAAAGATTGTTTGTTTGAATTTCGCGCAAAGCTACACGAGGGCTATCTGCGCTAGCTGTCCCTAATTTGGCAGCAAGCCATCACCAGCCACTGCCAACTCTTGGGCTACTCTTTTACCGACGAATAGTGGGATTGACCGTCACATTGCAAATTGGAACGGGATTCGAACTCGCGACCCTCAGATTGCGAGACAAGCGCCCCAACCACCTGGCACACAAAAACGAAAAATGAAACCTTTATTAAAGAAGCTCAAAGGTATTTATTTGAAACGAAACGCAGCTAAATTATCGCAGTGTAAAGTAAATATAAAGTTGTAATGAAGGCAGATTTAGCTGAATATGCAGAAACGTCTGAATGCGTTCTCAGTGTGATAAGCACACGGTTTTTAAGGAACTGCGCATGCGTATTTTAGACCTAAATAAGTCTAGAAAGGCCATAGAAATTGTATTTAGTGTAATGTTAATTTTTTTAGGAAATTACATGCAGGCTAAGTGTTTGTTGTGTGAAATATTTTGTAAATAAAAAACTAAAGTTGAAATCGAAGTCTGTGATGATACCAACATTTTGCCATCGTGTGCCATATTCGTTGCATTAAAAAGTTTGATTAAGCAAAAATCGGGTAAGGTGATTATGGATGGTTTGGTTTGTTTGGTTGGTTTTAAT